TTTGACAGTGATAGCAAAAATTAGAACATTGTTTGATGTAGGTCTCAAGGTATGTAGAGGAAATGTATAAAATAGTAATATTATCAATGAAAGAGAGTAAAGAGATGTAAATGGAGGAAAGGTTTCTACATCTTTCTCAAACAGGGAAAATGTTAAGTCCAGTAAAATGTAAAAAGATACGTATATATACATCTCTTTCTCTCTCTCTCTCTTTACACACACACACGGTAATACCCAGAGCAACCATTATAAAAGCTATACAAAGAGAGACACTCAAAAACATTATCAATACATCAAAATGAAATTCTAAAGAATGTTCAAGTAACTGACTGGAAGGCATGAAAAAGAAAACATAAAAATTAAAAATAGAAGGAATAATCAAAAAACAAAAAATAAAATGGCATACTTAAGCCATAACATATCAATAATCACATTAAATGTAAATCATTTAAGTAGAGCAATTAACAGAGATTAGCAAAGGGAATTCAAAAAGCATATCCCCCAAACATACTGTCAACAAGAAACCCACTTCAAATATAAATTGGTAAAAATTAAAAAGTAGAAAAAGATATACCATGCAAAAATTAATTTTAAAGAAGCAAGAGTAGCTATATTAAAACCAGATAAAGTAATATCAGAGCAAAATAAATTACCAGGGACAGAGAGGAACATTACATAATGATAAAATGGCCAACCCACCAAGAACATATAGCAATCCTAAATGTGTATGCACCAATCAACAGAGTGGCAAAATATGTGAAGCAAAGACTGATAGAACTGAAAAGAAAAATAGACAAATTTACATTTATAATTGGAAGCTTCAACATCCCTATCTCAATAATTGATTTTTTAAAAACAGCTAGATAAAAATCAGCAAAGATATAGAACTCAACACCACCAGCAACAAAATCTAATTGACATTTATAGAACACCCCCACAACAGAATACACATTTCTGTCAAGTGCCCATGAAAGATTTACCAAAATAGACCATACCCTCAATTATAAAACAAACCTCAGCAAATAAAAAAGAACTGAAATCATAACAAAGTATGTTCTCTGACCACAATGGAATCAAACTAGAAACCAGTAACAAAAATAACTGGAAAATCTCCAAACACTTGGAAACTAAACAACACACCTCATGGATCAAAGATGAAGTTTTAATCCAAATCCAAAAATACATTGAACTGAATGAAAATGAAAATACGACATATCAAAATTTGCGGGACACAGCTAAAGCAGTGCTGAAAGGGGAATTTATCACTAACTATTAATACTTACATTAGAAAAAAGGAGAAGTCTAAAACTCAATACTTTAAGTTCCCACCTCAATACTAGAAAAGGAAGAGCAAAATAGGCCGGATGTGGTGGCTCACACTTGTAATCCTAGCACTGTGGGAGGCTGAGGTGGGAGGATCACTTGAACTTCGGAGACCAGCCTGAGCAAGAGGGAGACCCTGTCTCTACAAAAAAATAGAAAAAAATAGCTGGGTGTAGTGGTGGGCATCTGTAGTCCCAGCTACTGGGGAGGCTGTGGGAGTTGGAGGTTGCAGTGAGCTAAGATGGCACCACTGCACTCTAGCTGGGGCAACAGAGTGAGACTCTGCAAAAAAAAAAAAAAAAAAAAGAAGAAGAAAAAGAAGAGCAAAATAAATCCAATGCAAACATAGAGTGGTAAATAATAAAGATAAAAGCAGAAATTAATGAAATTGGAAACAGAAAAACTAATAGTGAAAATCAATGAAACAAAAAGCTGATTCTTTGAAAACATCAAAACCTAACAACCTCTGGCAGACTTGAAAAAAAAAAAAAGAAAGCACAAAGTACCAATATCAGAAACGATACAGATAAATAAGTACATTAGAAATCTGATGTACAACACAGTGCCTGTAGTTGACAATACTGCATCACGTACTTCCAAATTTGTTAAGAGGATAGATCTCATATTAAGTGTTATTAGACCCCCCCAAAAAAAACCAACAACAACAAAAACAAGGGACACAAGAAAACTTTGGGAGGTGTTGGTGTTAGATATATCTATTATCTTGACTGTGGTGATGGAATCATGGGTGTTTGCATATAACCAAGTTCAGCAAACTGTACATATTAAAAATGTACAGTTCTTTGTATATCAATTATACTTCAATAAAACTGTCTTTTAAAAAGAAATGAAACAGAGGACACTATGAACAACTCTACACACGTAAATTTGACAACTTAAAAGAAATGGACCAATTCCTTGGAAAGTACAAACTACCACAACACACCGAATATGAAATACATAATTTGAATAGTCCCATAATTTTAAAGAAATTCCATTTTTAAATTTAAAATTCCCCCCAAAAAAGGAATCTCCAGGCCCAGATGATTTCACTGGAGAATTAAGCCAAACTTTTAAAGAATAATTAACACCAATTCTGTATCTATCGCTTTCAGAAAATAAAAGAGGGAACACTGTTACTGTGATATCAAAACCATCCACAGACAATACAAAATAAGAAAACTACAGGCCAATATCCCTCATAAATATAGAGCAAAATTCTTAACAAGGTATTAGCAATATATAAAAAATATTATATACCATGACCAAGTGGGATTTATTCCAGGGATGCAAGGCTGGTTCAAATAATCAGCACATGTAGTCAACCCTCTATATTGTCTTGTACACTAAAAACTTGTACACTAAAACTACAAAACATTATTGAGAGAAATTAAAAACCTAAATGGAAAGACATTCCGTGTTCATCTATCAGGTTACTTAATATTGTTAAAACAGCAATAATCCCCAGATTAATCTACAGAATCAATGTGATCCCTATCAAAATATGCACCCAAAAGAATGAACATACCAGGCCCAAGAATGCTATCATTTGAAAATCCTTCTTGCAAGGTTGGCCCTTGGCTAGCATCTGGGAACTTATATTTGGGGAGGGTTCCCACCACCCTAAGTGATAAGATTAGTTCACTTTGCCTTATGGTTTGTGGTGAATACCAGGTTTCCTCCTGGGAGTCTGGAATTTTGGTAAGTGGTAGCAGAGGGTGCCTGCATAACCAGTCCTCGATAAAAACCCTTGCCACTGAATCTCTAATGAGCTTCCCTCATAGACAACCTTTCACGCATATTGTCACACTCCTTTCTGAAAAAGCTAGGGCTAAGTAAAAGAAGCCAGTCACAAAAGACCACATATTGTATGATTCCATTTACATTGAATGTCCAGAATAGGCAAATCTATACAGATACAAAGTAGATTAGTGGTTGCCTAAAGTTGGGAGGTATAGGGGTGGAGGGGTGGCTGGGGTGTGATAGCTAAAAGGTACAGGGTTTCTTTTTGGGGTGATGAAAAATCTAAATTGGTTATGGTGATGGTTGCACAACTCTGTGAATACGGTATATTAAAAACATCATTGAATTGTACCCTTTAAATGGATGCATTATATGTTATATGAATTATATTTCAATAAAGCCATTAGAAAAAAGCATTGTAAATAATAAAACATATCAGTTGTTTTTAAAAAAGATTATGTTGAAGAGTGGCAAGAATAGACTCAATGGAACCAGTTAGCAAGTTATTACGATAATCCAGGCAATTTGGATCAGGATGATCTAATGTTCTTGGCCTTGGCCAAGCACTTCCATATGGTCCTAGACATAGCAATTTTTGAACAACCATCACCATTAATTTTCAATTATATAAATATCCTTAAGTACTTACCAATATCTATGAACCTGGTGCTATCCTTTTCAGGGTAAATGAAAATGAATAAAACACATTCTCCTCAAGCAGTTCCGTATTTGCAAAGATAAAGGTCATACTGAAACGAATGCACCACACAGGCAGAACGTGATAGATGAATTACAAATTCACAAGGTGAATATAAAACTGCTAAGGATTTCAGATGACACATGTTCTTGAAAGCCCGCTATTATTGTCAACACCATCACTATTGTCAAAATCATCTCAACATCACCAAGAGCAATTACTGAGTGTCTAAGTACATGAGCCACTGCTAGGTTCCATAAAGAGTTGGACAGTCACTGCCTTCCTTGAACCTATACACATCTTTATGATGGAAATATCAAGGAAATGTACTAATAAATACAACATACACAAAAATGCAGTTTTTAGGATGGAGAATGATCCTATCAAGGAGGAATCACCAATTTCCCTTTTAATTTGAGGAATGCTTTCTCAAAATGGGCTTTTGTATGGGCTTTTGCACTGTGTGGGAACCTGTTTTCCAAGAGCTGCGACCTCCTAGGGTCACACGAAGTCATTACCCCGATTCACCGTCTTGATTTTGACAGCAAGAGGCACAGGTGGTCTAAACCTGACATTCCCACAGCACGACTACATGCCAAAGCTGAAGACGAGGCCAATCTCCACCCAATTTTAATGTCCCTAAGGGAAAGGATAAAGACTTTCTCAGCAATTAATACTATATTTAAATGCTTTTAAAAGATTATTTGGCCGGATGTTCCGGACAAGTTTGTATGTTTGACGGGAAAAAAAAAAATCTGATTAATGGGCTAGTTTTCCTCCCAACCGGTTTTCCTCCCATCACTCCAGCCCTGACACAGTATATATTGATATATTTATAACACATAATAAATATATAAGGCAAAAAGCTCGGGTAGTGGCTAGCATAACAAGTTGTATGTTTAACAGACCATAGACGGATTAGAACAAGAGCTATGTACTAGAAAGTTCTTCACCAATCAGATACGGAAACAAGACAAAACAAACAAAACAAAACAAACAAAACAAAAAACAAAACAAAAAACACGGATGAGGGGCAGAGGGAGTGAGAACTAACCGCATCGGTTTAACCGCCGCCTCAGAATAACAGTCACCAGAAAATAAACCGTCTCATAAAGCTGCCCCCAGAGGCGGCCAGGCTGACCCAACCATTCTCACCAGCAGGGGGGGATAAGGAATCAGCGCTTCGTTCAGTCAGACTTGAAACCACCAGATGGGGCCAGAAGATCAGAATATGTACCCTTTATACCTTTCTTTTTCTCAGGGACTTTCTCTTCTGGATGTCCAGCCCCTGGAAGAAGGAAAAGGCATACTGACCTCTGCGCACGCACACACGCGCGCACCCCCCGCCTCCGAGACGATGGAAGCGGCCAGTGCCGGATCCAGCTGGACCAACGGCCAAAACGGCCTCTGTGCTGCAGCTACTCCTTTATAAAATCGGGATTAAAATCGTGCCCATTTCAGAATGTTGTGTGAGAATTAAATGAGATAGTAAAACACAGAAGCAGGCAAATCCCCAGGCCTAACTCCAGACCTGCAGAAAGAAACTGTAGGATGGGGCCCAACTATCTTGGTTTAATCACCCTAGAGGTGATTCTGGTGCGAGCTAAAGTGTGACAGTTACTGCTCTGGGAAGAAGCCTGTCCGCTCACATAGCTAACCAAGTTTTTTGGTCATTGTTACAGATCCCATGACACCATGACTTCTGAATTATGTTTCCTTCCTGAAATTCTAAAACCATCTCTTGTTTCTTGAGCCCAGCTGTGTGCCCACTATTGTATTTATAATATATAATAAATGTGTAAGGCAAAAAGCTCGTGTAATGGCTGGGTACAATGAAAAAGAGACAGAGAATCTGCCCTCCAGGCTTGCTATGTAGGTGATCCGGGAATAGGAAAAGTTAATTAACTCTACAAGGCCAGATCTAGTAAATGTCAGATGAATTATACTGACAATAAGCAAATGTTCTAGGAAATCAAAGGAGGGAAATTTCACAATTATAAGAGGGAGGAGCCTGACCAGAAATGGCCACAGCCAAGCCAAGCCCACCCCTCAAAAATAGCTGTAAGCCATTTTCTACAGCAAGGCTACAGAAGAGACCTTAGCTCCCCAATTAAGCCCCTGCCTATAAAGGAACCTCCAACATACCTGAGTCCACTTGCCTTTAATGGCTGCCCCCTGAATTTTTTTAAAAAAGAGAATATAGCTTTTAAAAATCCTTCATTTTCTTCCTCCACTCCTTCAATCACTCATAGGAAAGGACACATATGCACAATACAGATGTAACATAAATACATGACATAAGTAATTATGCAGCACTATTGCCGAGATATTCAAAATAGCTATTTAATTTTTCACTTTAGAATGGTTGCATGATGCTGCTTTAAATGACATTGTGCATTCTCATGGCTGGAACACAATTCAGGAGAAAAAGAAATGATGTTCCCAATTATACTGGTCCTCAATAAACGATGTCTGATAATCATCGGCATCACTGCCCATTTTCCAAATGGTCACAGTGTCATCACATAAACGAAATTAGGTACTGGAAGATACTCAGCAAGACGAACAGGCACACAGTGATTTCATGAAGGCTGATAGTTTACTTCATTTAATTTCCTTTTGCCGTTATTCATAATAATTATATTACAAACACGGGTACCATTTTTATTACCTTAATAGTTTTTCAAGCCAAATGCAAACTGAAAGCATATTTAAAGTGTTGATTTGTACTATTATTCACAAGTTTGTGTGGAAAAGAAGATGTTTGGGTGGAATAAACAAAGTTAGAAAATGGGTAATGATGGTTAGGAAGAAAATGATGACCAAGGCTTTTGTGTTTAACATCTCTATGTTTGGCTCTTAAAGGCTAGCCTAACTGCAGACTATTCACACTCTACCACGCATATTCCTTATTTTGCTCTTTGAACATCCCTTCTCCCTCATCTGTCCCCCGACACCACCACTCACTGTAGGCCAGTTTAAGAGCCTCAGCAGCTTCAGAGAAAGAAGCAGCAGTGGATATACTGTGACCTATGTCTGAGCCAGGTCTGCTTTGATTCTTCCCTTACATTTTTATCACTGGTTTCACATCCAAATGCTGCTCTTGCCTGCTCCTGGTCAGCCTCCAGGATGACAGGATTGAGGTGCCATGGGACAGTGCTCTAATCATCCATAGTAGTTCTTTCTTTGTCATTTGGGGATTTGGTAAGACATTTTCCAGGCACAGATCATGAATGTTCCCTTCTGGGCTGCGAGACATAGAGGTTTTTTTTGTTGTTGTTTTTTATCTCTTAGAAATATGTGTTCTTGTGCTTGGAGAATACATAAACATTTTCTTCCTTTGCTCAAATTCCACAGGGATGAGCCAGACACAGGAGCTCCAACTTTGTCTTTAATCATCAAAAGTTTCCCCTTGACAAAAGGGTGGTATAGGAAAAACAGGTCCTATACTGTGGATTTTAGCTGATCGCCATTGACAAAGACCCTCTTCTTGACCAACTTTAGTCAGGCTCCTCTGAGCCCACTTATTGACTAGGCCTCAACCTTGGCCTATAAGAACTGCAACTTTCAGTATAAATTATTTCACCCCCCCACACACACACACCACACACTAAGAGACTTAAACAAACACTAGAATAGTTTCTATCAGCTCAAGGCTATTTCCCTAGGATGACAACCCTAGCCTCCTTAAAATGCCTGCCTAAGAAAGCTCAATGCTGCCAAAAGAATTTACTGTTTGTTCAAGCCAAAATCTTACTACAGGTCCTGACTCCCTTTCCTTAGAGCAGGCACTTTAAAAAATTCATAATTGTAAATCCATTCTCTCTTCCTTTGAAATGTATCTTCTACAACCTAGGAATGTCTTTCTCAAGGACCTGGGAGTCATCCCTCTGAAATGTAATCATCAAGAATGATAGGGCCAATGTCTCCCTGTCTCTGTGGGAGGGTAGGAGCCTAACCTTGATAAGCACCAGTTAACAAACAGAGATACCCTAATCACTTTGACCAACCTCACCCCCTAATGTCCCTCAATACATTCCTTTTCCCTGCCTTTTGTTTCTGTGGAGTTGAGCTCTGTTCGTCTGAAGTCTCTTCCCCCTACTGCAGTGGCCTGAATAAAATTCATCTTGCCACCTTTAACAAATGTCTGGCTCTGTTTGTCTTTGACACCGTGAACTAACAGTATCAAATTTTATAGCAGGGTTAAGAGGTGCAATCTCAGGGATAACATGGAACAGAAGATATTGGGAGGTACAACCAGCAATATGAAACTCTATCATGTAAAAGGTCATCTCAACTGATTTTTAATTCTGATGCATTTATTCACATGCATAAGGTTAAAGTGGAGACATGTAGCGAAAAGATAAGGAGAAACAAGGTTAGACTTGGGCACAGTGAGAGCCATTTGGTTGTGGGATGTTTCCAAACTGGGGCTAAACTGAAGGCATCTCAAAGTGTAATGGATAATCCTCTAAAACATACTGTAGCCAACAATGCAGAATTGGCCAGATGGAAAAGATTAAGTGGGGCTTAAGTCTTTTCCTGGCTTGAGGAGTCTGTAAAAGGCTGACCCTGTCCCAAATGGATCAGCCTTTCTCTGGGCTGCTTATGTCTCACGGGGAAGGTAAGAGGTTGCTGGATCACTTAGAACACCTAGAATCCTAAGAATAGAGTCCCCAAATTGTGCTGTCATTGTTCTCTATAGAAACAGCAATGTCATGAAGTTGAAGTTCTGGTACCAGCTGGCGGTCGAGGCTTTAGGAGAGTATGGAGGGTTGAGGAAAGAAGCAACATCTTGAGGCAGACTGAAAGATCATCACGGCATCCAAATTGACAACAAAAAATCATTCAAAGGTCCTGCATAATAGCCTGATCTCATACTACAATGGTAGGGACATCTTCTCACTTCTTTTTGACTAGCTAAGGGGGCATCTTAATGGTCAGGTGAAACCACAGAAGCTGCTAAGGCAGCCTCCAACTTTCTAGTTTCATAATTTTGTTTGAGATGCCTAGAAAAGACTTTGATCAACATTTCTCTTTTTCTACATGAATTCAAAAATTTCTTGCCACATAACTCTGATTCTCTAGTGGGAACATGATTAGATTGTTCTGGAGGTCTAGCAAGAAAAGGAAAGAGAAGGGAGATTTTGAGGGGTTGTGAGCTGGAGAAAATGTGAGAGAAATATGTGTACCCTCCTAGAAATAACCAAAACTGTTTGTCCTACAGCACACAGCCTGATGTGCTTTTGATAGGAAAAGGTTACTGAGTTTGCAAGCATGCCACACCTTTGCTCAGGTAGCTACAGTTTCGGGCATTGTGACCCAACAAACTATGTTGTCATACCCCAGGGTCAGAGCCAGCATGGAAAAGCCTGGCCCCTCAGTCTGGTCCAACAGCTGACGGGGGTGGCAGCCAGCTGCAGGTGCCCAAGAACTTGGCACTGCTCAGTTCCATCTAAAGGAGCACATCTCCCTTCTGGGTGGCACATTTCCAGCCAAAAGTCTAGAACTTCATTATCAAGGTAATGAGTTCATAAATTTTATTTTTTATAGTTCTTTAGGACTTGGACTGAAGCCATATCTGAGGGATCTCTATGCCTCCCCTTTTTTTCTAGGCTAGTGTTTTCTAGCTCTTGGAAAAGAAAGGAACTCCCTCTTCTAAAGGTGCGGGAGGCCTTTTCCTATAACTTTTTCAAGATTTCATAAAGATCCTTGAAGGGAGAGCCCAAAAAGATCTTGGGGGGTGGCAGGGATGGTAAAGGGTAGGAATGTAGTATTGTCATGTGAAAGGATAGGCATTAGAAGATAGATGTTATAAAAAATGTTGGGGGGGTAGAAAAAGAGAGAAAGGGAGGAAGGAAAAAGGGGAAGGAGGGATAGAGTGAGGGAAGAGAGGGAGAGAGGGAAGGAGGGAGAGGGAGGAGGGAGGGATAGAGAAAGGGAGGGAGGGAGAGGGAGGAGGGAAGGAAAGGAGGGAGGAAGAAAGAGGGAGGAGGGAGGGAGGAGGGAAGGAAAGGAGGGAGGAGGGAGGGAGGAAGGGAGGGAAGAGAATGAGACTGTTTTGGAAAGCTAGAGGGAAAAGGAGGTCTAAATTTTGAAGGAAGCTGAGAGAAAAGATACATATAGGGAAAAGGGAATTCAACAGCCCTCTAATACTTTTTAAAATTTAACAAGAAGATTTCTCTTGTTAAATTTCAAAAAGAAATCAAGTTCAAGCCCCAGATACCAAAACAAGACTACTGAGCTCTTAACTGTGTCTTTTGAGCTTAAATCTGAGGTCCTATGTAGCAAAAATCAGTCACTGGCTTCTGCCATTTCCTTTTTTCTTGGGGTGCAAGGAAATTGGCAGAAGTTATTTTTTCTTGAAATTTAACTTGATCCTATGGAATCAGAGTCTGGTCTTCCCTCAGATCTTTGTCTCTTGGTGTTATCTCTATGGCTATCAGACTGGGTTTCTCAGCATTCAAAACTTTGTTCTATATGTTGTAATCTTATATCTCATTTTAATAAAAGTGTTATTTATTTGCTCTGCTAGTATTGACCTTAGTCTTTTCCAATGGCCCCGAGTGATGAGTTACAGGTATTTACCTAATTTTACTTTCTTTTATATAATGAGAAAAACTCTGGTTGAACTGGGGTTAGTTAGAATTAAGTTAGAGGGGGTGAGGTGAGCTGGATCCTTTGAAGGTACCCAAGAGTGGGTAAAGAAATGAGAAGATTGGAGAGATTTAGTGGAGTCGAGTAGAAGTAAATCACTACATTTAATCCCCACAATCTCTAGATTTCCTTTTAAATTCACTTCCCAGTCTACCATTTTTCCTGAGTGATGTTCTCCTAAGTTAACATGATACTCTCATGGTTCCAAATACTTGGTGTAGGGAGTCTAAATTAAAGGAGACTGTTGATTTTTCTAAAACATAATGATCCTGAGCACCAAGTTCAAACATTTCAGCGTGTCCTTCCCCACTGCTGACCCCACCAATTTCTAGCCTAAGCCTATAGGAAACCCAGAAATGGGTTTCAGAACACCCTTCAGAGATTCCTATCCAAACTGACTCCATTTCTAAAAGCCACATATAAGCACTTCATATTTATTTTCTTCCTCTTTCCAGATGTCTGATGATATTGATTGGTTACACAGCAGCAGGAGTGTGTGCAAGGTAGACCTCTACAGCCCAAGAGAACGACAAGATCAGGATCGGAAAGTGGTAAGATACAAAACAACTACTACCAAGGAGTAGGGAAAATTGACGTATGAGTATAGATATCCTGGGGCCCAAGATAAACTAATGTAGAGTGATACTGTGACTTCTCCAAGCAACCAAGTTCAATCAGGTCTGTCAGGGGCTGCACACTTATACATCACACAGGGCTAAATCAAGGGAGGGGCAGGGTGAGGAGGGAGGCCAGGGAGGAGCCTGAGGGGAGGGAGGAGTGGTGGTTGCCTAGTAACCAGCCCCTATTATTTGAAATCTCTTAAGTCATAATAATGTTGCCTAGCTACCAATAAGTTAATCTAGGACCCCTCAAGAGGACAAAATATCCCATAGTCTGTTTCCCAAACTTCAAGTGATTTCCATAGTATTTCATGTTTTTATCATGTTCAAGTACCAGCCATACTATTATTTACTTAATGTATATTTTTGAAATGTTTTTAAAATTGACTTACGCTTTAAAAATTACCATCAAACTAAGCAATATCATCCATGACATCACAGGTTTGATGCTTTAGTATGTATTTTTCCTAATGCACAACATAAAATGCAAGTATTAAACACCGAAATGTTTATCCATGTACCACCTAAAATCTTCTATATCATTGGTAGTAAAAATACTACATTTGGAGAAACACTAGTGTAGTAGAAAGTGCTCTAAACTAGAAACTAAGAAAAGTTGTAATATGAGCCCTACCTTTCAGTTTGTGTCAGTTGGGTAAGCCACTTCTCAGTTTTTTTCAATTAATAAATATGGATATTGTACTTTGGGCCACTCTCTGACAGGTTGGTATTCTCATTTAAGAAACATAGTAATGCTAAGATTCTGTCTGCCTAATAATAATCACAGTATTAATGTTTATTGAGTACTTACTGTGTGCCAGGCACTCTGCTAAAAGCTTTACATACAGTATCTCAGTTAACCTTAACAAGAACCCTATGAGGTAAGTGCTATTATCATCTCCCAGAAAGAAAAAATTATGCCCTT